AAAACTAACTAGGTTCCTGAGCTATTTCCAGGGAAATACGTGACAAGTTTTCACGTAGCATATCACAAATCGCAGCAAATTAAAACCAGCTGCAGGATGGCAATCTGTAGGAAAGTGTAGTTTTCCGTGGTATCTGAAATCGCCCTTTTTGTTAAATGTTTTCGATAGAATCGACTAGAACTTGCAGAGAGCTCCATGTGTGATTCATGTCTAAATAATTTGTGACTAAGGGTCAACAGGCTTATTCGCTACAGGTGATAAATAAAGAATACTACATTCTGAGACATGGGCACTCGTAGATATGGATTTTCCCTTCGAGTGTTCAACTAGATAACTCACGAGTTAGCGCAGCGAACTAGTGACATCAACTAGATTACGATTACTTATTACTAACTACCTAGAAGAGCCGACATTATTTTAAATGAATGAGACAAACTAGGATTTAAAATCCGCGACGTAAAGTGCGACGTAAGGTGCGTAGGCGATAAGGCTTAAGGTCCAAATACTTTGGTTTTTCTTAACGTAGTTTGGTTTTCTTCCGCTTCTAGGAAATTTGGATCGTCACTGTAAGTGAGCGATACGAGTTTTTTAAGCGTTTTTAGCAACCATAATCCGACCAAAATTTCTACAAACGATCTTGCATTGAGAACGATGAACGCCTTGCCATTCATTTATCAACCCGACAGAGTGGCGTGAAAGTCGAGTGACGTGTCGGGAGCTCATTTGCTATATCAAACACATTAAAATGGTTATGTTAAACTCGTGCAGTCACGATTTTTCTCAGAGCTGAAATTCCTTGTGTAAATAGATTTAAGAGTTGTGCTTCGTAAATATCGTCCGGACGCATACAGTTTCAAAATCAGCAAAATCCTCAAACTTGGCCAGAGCATTGGCCTTATTAACCTATTTCCAAGAATAAATCTTTTCAGTTTGACATTTTGATCAGAACTTTGTTTTACATGAACAGGAACAGTCGGCCAGGTAGGAGTGGGGAGGGAAATACTGCAGGCATTGTCAAATGATGTTCAGAATCAATTCTTATGTGCTTTTCTAGGCTCTTTCTATTCTATCTGAGGCAAAAATTGAAGATGAACGCAAAAGAAACCTACTGCTGGATGAATTTTCCAAAGCTGAAGATTTTTTGAGGCAACTGAATGAGAAACGCTCACTGCCTTTGCTGCAATTGAATATAACCACAATTTTAGAGGAGATGACGCAACATATCAGCCAACTCAGTCAGAAGGAATACTATATTCTTGTTGCAGGTGAGTAATATTGGAGAATTCAACCAAAACAACCGCCTTAGATTTATTTGCCTGGCCTCTAGGGCCTAATTGCTCAAAAAAAGGCCGATTAGCGCAAAACCAGGGTTAAATTTTAATCCAGGTTTCTATATTTCTCTGTTCAAAAGCCGTTTTGGAATAATTTTACCCATTGTTTTTTAGCGCATTCAATTATCAAATTGTAGTCAAAAAGAAATAAACTGAATTTGCTCTTCAAGCTTTCAGATCTGAAATCAAATTTCACACTAACCCTAGGTTATCTTAATCCAGCTTTGAACAACGCGGCCCAGGCTTGTGAAATTCCGCGACTGACAGAGGATTGGCTAATTTAGTATTATCAACTGAGTTGCTAACGTAAATTGGCCTCCTTAAAGAGTTTAAAAGCTGACGTTTTGAGCGTTAGCCCTTCGTCTATCGCTCTGACGGAGGGCAAACGCTCGAAACGTCGGATTTTAAACTCTTTACGGAGGCCAATTTACGTTATTAACTCAGTTGCTATTGTAATTGTGAAGATGCTAGAGGTTGCGGCTTACTCAAATTCTCAGCAACTACAAGGGTGGCGCGGTGCAAGGTGACAATAATACAAACTTCACTTGGTAGATCTAAACAGATTTAATGACAGATCAAATTTCAAAGGTTTAGATCAATCGGTTGCGTTTGACATGAAGGGTCATGAAGATAACGTAGATCAAAGATCATTGGCCTCAGTAGCGTTAGCGGTAGAAAGAATAGAAGTAGCTGTAGGTGCAGATCAAGTTGTAGGTTCGGACTGAAATACGATAATTAAAAATAGAATCTAACTTAGGTAAGACTGAAAAGAAACGCTAGGCTATCAAGAGACTTTGAACAACAATAAACTAGCGAACTCTTAGCGTGAAATGAATAGACGTGATAATTCTCGTGTCATATAAATTATTATCAAACGAAGGTACAAACAACAGTATAGTACTGAAAAAAGAGTAGCTAAATGAGCATAAAAGAATAACATTTTAAAAAGAAAAAAAGAAAATTTGTTAATAAGATAGTTTCACTATAATACTGTGATAATAACACTTAGTTGACTAAACGAAACATTCTATGACCGAGAAAAGGCTAATGATTCCGTGACTTAATTAACAACAAAGAAAAGACTTACCTACTTTGGTTGACGACGCACGTCCACAAAAAATAGCAAATACACTAGAGATAGCGGTAGCTTGGATCAGATTAGATTATAGGCTATGGTACGTGAAGAAGGCTAAGGCGTTGCAAATAATTTAGCCGTCAAAATAAGAAATATTTCCTGGGCAGCAAAGATTCCAAAGTTATGATACAATTCCAGGAAATCTCGATTTCTACGGACGCGTTCATGTTAGATCACGTACTTGACTACATAATAACTAAATATAAATCAAAAGGAAGTTTACAGGAAATTATTAAAAACAAGCGGCGTTTTAAAACAAACAAATAATGCTAAATTACCCTGCTATACTCTTTACCGGCGCAGCACCACAGTTTCTTTATAAACTTTCTCCCTTTGACAGAGGATTGGCCCATTTCAGAGAGGTTTATAGTATTGCTTCATCTTGGTTAGTAGGAAACTAGTATACCACGCTTGGCGGAGGGCACCAAGGATACTAGGCCTGTCTTGTTTCTCTCTTTTTTAATGTAAAGACTTTAACAGCACATGGCTACAGTCAGCCAGAATCAGTCCAAGATTGGTCAAAGAGAAGGGAAAAGAGAAAAATATAGTTGCTGCAAGTAGAAAAGTTCCACCAAAAGCCAATATTCCTATCTCAATTTTCTTTGACCACTTTCCGAATGACTCCTATCTCTGACTCTGATTCTCTAACACTGATCTACTAACTGCTATTTCTATACTACGTTCTCTTATATTAACTATCGGTACTAGTGAGTGGAAATGCCAGCCAACTGACCTTGAAAGATTTGAAAGCATTTGTTGTTAGAACAAAATCTTAACACTTTCACGAGAATCTGACGAATCAACAATAACGTACTTCATGCTTACGGTCACACAAGCAGTTTTAGAAACTACAGCTGCATCATAGAGAATGGTTTTTATCTTGCTGTTTTAGGCGAGGCAAGTGCTGGAAAAAGCCTGATAAATCTCATTCTGGGAGAGAGGCTTCTTCCATCTTCCTCACTGAGCACAACTTCCACGTTGTGTGAATTGAAGTACAACGAGGAAAGAAAAATTGTGGCGCACTTCAAAGACACAGATTCGAAAACAGGATTAACATCGACCATGTTTCTTGAGAGTCCAACAGAATCTTCAGGGAAAAGCTATCTCCAGCAGATCTCACCTTTTGTCCAGGTGAAAGGTGCAGATCGTGGGAAAGGTTCAATTTACAAAAGGGTTGAAATCTTCTGGCCTCATCAATTGTTGAAGGTAAGTATTCAGTAAACGGTTAAATGTCTTTCGTAGATCAAAACATTGTCTGAGAAAATCAGTTGAGCTAGCTACTAATGCTGCTTCACAATTCTTTCCTGTTTAAAGTATGCCATAAGTTGATATGGAAAGTTGAACCACATTGACTGAACTAGAATGAAAATAACATGGATCCATGTCCAATCTTAATGTAAATATTAATTACGTTGAGCGAACAAAAACTCGGGTTAATGTCCTATAGCAGCTGAAAGTTTACCATCGTGAGCACCTAGACTATGCCAAAAAAGAGTAAGTCGAACAATCTAGATGATTATTAACTGTGGATGAATATTTGGCGCTAATTTCTGTGTTTTAGAAAGGTGTCACTATCATTGATAGTCCTGGGGTTGGAGAATCGGAAGTCATGGATGAAGTAGTGACAGAGTATCTTCCTCAAGCCTTTGGATTTATTTATGTCATTAACAGCGCAAACGCTGGAGGGGTTCAGAAAGACAGAGTAAGTAGCTAGTGCAATGTGGATAGCAGTCAAATTAAAATTTTAGAAAAAACAATATATAGTATTGCAAAAGACATATCAAAGTGATGAATAACCTTTTACACTTGACTATTTTTATGTGCTTTGTAGCCATGTTGTGTTAATTGGCAACCTTTTGCTTAATACAAAGCTTGTATATTTGCTGAGCGAACTGGGCAAGATAGCGCGTGAGAGACAAGAAGAGTTTCCCTCCAAATGTGCTTTGTTTGTTTGCAACAAATGGGACCAAATTCCAGAGGACGAAGCCGACGTTGTTAAGGCACACATAGAGATCAAGCTAACAGAGTGGTGGCCTGATCTTATTCCTGAATCCCAGATCACCTACATGTCAGTAAAAAAACGCTCTATATGCTCAGAGCCGCGGGGAGATTAAAGCCGACCTCATTACCCTGATGAATGGAATCCGCATTTTTGTTCTGAAATGCATCGAGCAAAGGTTGGGAATTCACTGGAGGTGAGTGCATGCCTTCTTTTAATAATGGACTTGGGTGTTATAGTTTTATTGTGGTTATAACTGTTAAACAAATTCAAATAATAAAATAGGAGAAAGACGCTTTAGATAAGTAACATAGGAAAAACTTTGAATCAATTTTTTACATCATTGTTATTCAAACTCTGACATTTATGGGCAAACTCTTTTCGCGGTGGGAGTCTTACATCGTGTATGTTAAGTAACTTAGAAGGATTAAATGAGCCAGGTCATTTACAACGAGAAATGATGTTTAGGTTGGCTATGTAAAGATTTGTTTATTACTGTTTTGTATGTACTTAGTTCGTACGTAAAATTACGAGTTATAACAATACAATTAGAATTTCAATGTTCCTTTCATTTCCTTATTTCCCTACAGATGGCTTGATTTTGTATTTTACCAACTAATTTTTCAAACAAAGATGATTACGAGAGATCGTGAAGAAGTCAAGAACAACAAGACTACATACGATCGTCTGGAAGGGCTTGAGAGACAACAAACCCAACTTATTGATAGGACTCGCACAGACATGAAAGTCCGTGCAAACGAGGTCGAAACAAAGCTCTGCGAGTTTCTCAATTCAGAGGATTTGCGAGCACAATTCACCCATCAACTTTCCGGACCTGCTCCATCCGTAAGTGAGCTAGACGAAGAACTGCAAGTAATTTTGCAACAGTGGGAAGATAAAAATCACGTATTTGCAAATGCTTTTAGCTTGCCTCTTCAACGATTTTTGGAGCTACACAATTTAGCAAAAATGCAAATCCTGAATCTTCAACGTGACATCTCGGAAGGCGAAGTCTCAATGGCCACACCAATTTACCCACACTGTAAGTTTAGCGCTTCCGTGGTCTTCATTTTTGATCTCTTTGCTGAGAGGCTTGGAATATTCAGGGGTATCTCCGGATCTTTGGCTGGACCCGATGCCACTATGCCTATGATGAAGAATTTTACTCCTTCTTTTAGGATGAAAGAGAGCTTTCTTCAGTGTGTTATAAATGGAGATGCAGCTAAGTCTATGGTAAATAAAATGCTCAAAAAGCACCTGAAATATTTGGAACAAATTGGAAATCAGGTTCGACAGATGATTCAGGCCGACAAAAAGTTATGTGAAGAACTCCGTGACAACAAGCAATCACACCAAAAGATTAGAGAATTGTACGAGCCAATTCAGAACAATGCTATTGCTATTAGAGGACACCTTGCAGAATTTGGGCTGAGAGAGGCCTGTGTCCACTGCAATGAAGAGTTGCAGTGGAAGGATGATCCATCTTCCATTCTTGGGCGTGGTACGTTTGCCTATGTGTACAAAGGAAAGATGAGAAGACATGGATGCGAGCAAAAAGTAGCTGTAAAGGTTTGCATCAAACCTTTAGACGCCGAGAATGCAATTCTCTTAGTTAAAGAGATGACCCTTTTGAGGTGAGATAAAATTCCTCCATTTCAATCTCAATGTTCTAATTTTACCCCAAACTACAATGCCGCGTATTTGGAGTAGGGCTTGAGGAAAAATTGAGCATCAACCGTTTGGCTCTTTTTTAATCCTATAATTGCAACAATTGATTGGAATCTTACGTGGTAAGCACTTCATGATTTTGGAGACTTCCAATTTATTTGTAGAGAAAGAAAGTTTGTAGTAAAGGAATTTAGATAAGTGCTGTAACGTTAAGCCATATAGGGAACTTTTATGCCTACTTTTGAAAAGAACCCTTGTTTAGTGGATTACCTCTGGAGGTCTACTCTTTACTCTGGGTGTGTTATAAGCACTCTTGTTCATAAATAAACTTTTTGCGACCTTGACTTGCTGTTTTTCGTCAATACCATTTTTTAGCAGAATTGGCAGTAATGTCGCAATCTGATAGGCAAGTTTGCTATTGTCGATAGGAGTGCAGAACAAGCGAAACTGCTGTCTATTTGTTAACTCTGTCTTAATGTACATACTCTGCTACATGTTGTTTCAATATGATGATGATTGATGTGAAAGATGAATGATGAATGAGCATGCATGATATTTCAACATGATGCCAACAAAGCATCTTTCGCCCTCCACCATGTTCATAAGTGACAATTTCCTTTGACAGAATATTAGATCACCCTCATATTGTCAAGTTTTTTGGGACAGCACTCTTGAAAAAAGAGGATGAGGTAAGGGTGATCTTTGTGATGGAAAGGTGCACAGAAAGCCTCAAAGATCACATCTTCAAGCACCGAGAATCCGTCCCGGGTATATCTGGAAAAACAGCAGACCTTAGAGTTTGTCGTTGGGCGAAAGAAATCACCGCTGGTCTTCACTTTATGCACGAAGTAGGCATTATTCACAGAGACCTCAAGCTAGAAAACATCTTGGTACGTACTTACAACGATCTTGATATTTTGACAGCATCTTGCCAGTCCTTGTAAGTCAATAGAGTTGATTATTCAAGTATCACACTGCCTTCAGATTCTACAACTGTATTTTCTGCCTTTTTTATTAGTGTTTTAATTTCAATCGTGGGCATCCAAACTTCTAAGATTTCTGCACACATCTCTAAACCAATTGAATCACAGCGGAAAATCTTCGCTCTTGGGTGACACTGAACCCGTTACCCGCATAATACTACCAGTATGTATTCAAGATACCGTGATCCACATCGTAAGTCAGCGGAAAACGACCATTCCCTGTTATTATTATTATCATTAAAAAGGAGACTAAAACAGACACGCATGATAGCAATATGGTAACAGAAAGGAGAAGATGAAAAATATTTGAGAATGGTAGTGACTGAAGCGTTAAGAAATGTGATTGTCAAACAGTTTGTAAGCGAGGTACAAGCCATTTTTTCAGTACGTTAAGTTTTCGTCTTCGTAAAATCAAGAACAGAAACTTCTCTCTATTACGAATGCGGGAAAACATCTAAAGACTACCAATCCAATAATAAATATACTTCTCTTTATTTTTATTTAAGCTGTCGGAGGATGATTCCGTGAGAATAAGTGATGTCGGCGTTTCTAAAGAAGCAAGTGAAATCACCGGTACTGTTACGGATCTTTTTTGTACATGGCTCCTGAAGTGTTCCATTCCAACCTTTATGACTTCAAAGCAGACATCTACAGTTTTGGAATAATGCTTTGGGAGATGTGGTTTGGACAACGAGCATTTGCCGAAGTTAATGCGCTAAATAGCCAACATTTCTTTAGCTTGGTTGATCATGGGCGTCGTCCAAAAGATATTATGGAATTGAAGAAGCCTCCACGCCGCTGGAAAGAACTTATGGAGAGATGCTGGGATGGAGACCCAGATAAACGTCCCACAGCCGAGAGTTGTGAGCGAGAAATAACTGAACTCTGCAATGAATGGCCTGGTCATTAGGAAGAACCATATTCCAAATTATACATGAGGGCTACCGTCATTAATTGTACATATACTTTGTTTATATCACAAGCAAGCAGACAAGTTTATTTAGCATTTTCATACATCCGCTTTATCTTTTTTAAATTTCACAACAAAGACTTCGAGCTACCAGGATCATTCGTATGACTTAAACACAATATTGTTACGATTTTTGGCCTGCAAATTAATTTTTGCAGTCTTATCCCCTTTAGCTCGAACGCCTGCTTAACTAAGCTCAAGTTTTGTTCCTCGTCGCTGAATCAAGCAAAAAAGTCTGAGGCATGGCTGCCCACTACACAACAGTAATGGTACGGGCGGTTAGCCTTCTGTGACATGCGCTCACAATCTATGAAGAACACGGTAGTCCTACAGATGAAAGGCATTATCCAAAGGAGTCACAAAGCTTCAAAATTCCCCAAAATGCGGGACTTTACGTTTAGAAATATGCTGGAAGGAGTGCCCAACCATAGACGAGTCGCGCGAATATTCGATAGTAGCCAAATACTTAAAGTTTATTGGCTATCCAAAAAGGAAAGAAAATGTTTACCAAAACAAGAATAATTAGACACTCATCGTTGTTACGGGAAAATTCATTGATTTTCCCGTGTGTGTTATTCGGTACATATTCATTCGTAAACTTTCACATTTAACCATTTCAAGTCCTTTCATTTTAATAAATCAAAAAAATGCATAAAAACCACAGTAGCTTTTAGAATGGATTTTTATTGATTACTCGCTTTTACTATGCACCTGCTCGTCGGCACTTTTGTTATTTATTACATGGGTTTTTTTAGGTAAATATAAGTGTTAATGGTTTTTCTGGAAACATTGGTTTTCATGGTAGATAGCAGCTGAGTTTATACTCGTAACTTTAATTTCTTTTCATGCGATGGTTTCCAAACCAATCTTGCATAGATAAGCAGAAACTTTTCATTGCTTTTCCGTATTTCCTGAGCTGCGCTAGTGCAATTAAGATAGGTATTGTTTTCTATACCAGAGCTGTAAATTCGCACCTAGGTTTCCTACTTTAATGGCCTAGAGTTTATTGCATCCGTCTTTTTATTTTGAGATTCTTTCCGTCGTAGAAACAGATGGAATATTTAAGTAGTTTTCGTTTAACTTCAAAGAGACTTTTTTCCGCGCCTTTGTGTCCTTATTCAAATATTACGATTTGTGTAACAATAGCACCTCACACCAGTTAGTTCTTAAGCAAGTACCTTGTTCAGCTTTGATGATTACAAACTAGAGTATGCTAGAGGTCATGTCGCTTGTTGGCCTGACCTAGAATAAAAGTACTGTGGAACCAAAGATTGTCTTATCCTTGACGTCCGTATAAGCTCGCTCGAAGTAGATCTCCGTGTACCAGGAAATCGTGACGAGTTTCCGTTCTCGCTGCTAAGTCGTCTCTACAGAGTTATTTCCCCCAGTTGTTATCGTGCCGTCCGCGAAGATTCAGTTTTCCAGTTTAGGGGCGAAACCTTGTCGTCACATCGTGTACTCGTTCAATCAAAATTTTAAGTGTTTTGATCTAGTACCTTGTTCATTTAATGTTTTGAGTTTCTTTACATGGCCACAAGATTATTACGGAACATTATATCAGTCTACATTGAGCCCTTTTCAAATTTCTTTTACATGGATTTAGCAGAAGTTTTAAAGAGCAAAGTTTATAGGCTTTATAAAATAAAGTTATAATATCCAAGACATGTTCCGTATACAAACAAAGAGCTTCCTTAATGATTTTAAAAATGTTAATTGTTTTACTAAAAAATCAACACATAAAGAGGCGACAAACTTAGATAGAATCACAGTTAAAAAACTGCCTGTCTCTGCTAAGTTCTCGTCGTGTGGTTGTCAGAGGGATTTTTATTGATCAGCAGATTACACGAAAATTAGAATTATTCCATTTCTTCAAAGTCGAAAATCTAGTCAAGGTCAGGAATGTTTAATTGACGTATATCCTTCACTATCATATCACCGATTGAAAATTTGTCTAATCGTTTTTAATACCGTATCGGGAATCTTTGTCGTAATGGTATGCAGCAAGTACGCTGTTCTTTAAGATCGCAAATATTCAATCACTCTCACCCTTAGGTTTAACTAACAAGGAATATCATGAATGACTGACACACTTGATTAGGTTAAAATAGAGTGTAACAGGGTAGGATGCCATTACTCGTGTGATTTTCATTCAATGATGAGAAATGAAAGGCTTCATTTCTGGTTAGCCAAAATTTCCGCGATTTTTGACTTAAAATCCGCGAGGCTTCTTCTTCGCACTACATTTCCTAAGATAAGATCCCGACGCAACAGATCTCTGATGAGGCATTTTAGGTTTAATTTTGCACAGCATCTGTCGGAAGGTGGAGAAATGCACCACAGCATGCTTAATGGTCAGCTCCCTCTTGAGGGAAATAGTGCTCAGCTTAACATTGCGGGGATTGAAACTATCAGTCTTTAGGAACATAACAGAAACGCCTTGGCATTTCAAATCGTTGCTTGCTAGACCTTCCATCTTTGGACTTTTTTGGCAAGGCAAGGGTATTCGATGCCATCAAACTTTATTTTAATGAGTTTACATAATTCAAATCCTCTTTTCTCTTTATTAGTAAAGCACTCACTGGGTGTCACTGGTTTTCGCTTTTTTTTTTTTTTTTTTTAAACAGCTACAGAATCATGATGGAATGCGGGGAGACTGACCCTTCAAGTAGAGAGAGTGTTAATAGATCCATGAGTACGCTAACTACACCAAAACTACACCAAATACAGCGAACTGCACTTACTATACCCATTGCATTTACTTACAGTTGTACTTTACCTACAACACCTCCTACACCATGCCAAATACACCAAACTACACCTATTACATCGAATTCCAACTACTCTAAGAAACTATACCAAACTACTCCAACTACACCTGCTTCTGGATTGTATTAAAGAATAAGCGTTCATTTCATTTCATTTCTAGATAGTGAATAACCTTGTTCTATATATGTGACAGCAATCATGGATCTATTACCGATTGGGGAAATACCAGATTTTTAGTGTCTACGGTCACGAATATACAGCATGACAGGCTAAAAGAACAGGTTAGGACTGGAATGTATGTTTAAAGAGATAAGACCCATAAATATGTCAAATAACTCGTTACTTCTTAATGTTTAAAACAAAAACCAATTTTCAGTTCTCTCAAAGACTCACGGCATTATTTGACAATATCATGGCTTCCTGGAAGAAGTGTGACTGTATTTGCTTTAAATTCTTGCTTTCTTTAACAAATAGAGAAGCCTTGACTGTGCTCTGTTCTGTTATAAAGCACGCAGGAAGCGGTTAGAGCACGAAAGAAGTGTAGGGAGAAACACGAGACGTAGTCGAGTGTTTCTTCCCACTTCTTGAGTGCTCTAGCCGCTTCATAAGTGCTTTATAACAGAACAGAGCACAGTCAAGGCTTCTCTATTTGTTTTATAATAAAGGATCCGTTATATTCCTCAAGCATTACTTTCAATTTTCAAAACAAACTTTATTTCCAAAGCGAACAACAGTGCCGTCAGCATGCTCTATACTCTCATAAAGCACGCTACAATAAGCCAATCAGAATCCCTGTTAGAATGGTTGAAATAATCTGATTGGCTGTACAAGACTAAAGCTGTCAAAAGTGTCAAACCATCAAAGTTCACATTCTACGATAGTTTACAAACTAAAATAGTTCGGCAAGTCGAATTTAACTCTTTTGCCTGAAGTTTTTAAGTCTCTAATACAGAATCTTGAAGTGAAATTTTCAGTGAACTTCAGCCGAATTATGGCTCATAAAAACACGCGAGTTTTTTCACATGACAAGGTAGAAAACAAACTGTTCAAGGCGAGTGTATTTTGAATGAACGACAGCCGAATTCACCGGAACATGAAGATCGCTCGTGATGACAGCACCGCAAAACTCGGCTGCAGTGACTGATGTGACTTTCCACTCAACGTATCGGAAAGGATATCAGAGCAAGCTCTTATTTTTTCATTTGAAGGGCGGCCGATGTAGTTTCTGAGGCTTGCTTTACCGTGATGACCGGAGATCACCATGATGAGCGAGCCGCGATGAACTTCAGCATGATCATATTCGCTCAGACACCGTCATGATTGGTATGAATTTTAACAATTATGCCAGCTTGGTTATATTTTTCATTATTTCTGTTTTGTTCTGTTTTGTTTTTGAACACTGAACTTTATATACTATACGAGTGTTAGCTGTGTTTGATTTTTATTACCGTACGTAAGCTTGCAATCTAACTGAGCGTGAAAATCTTTAAAACTCGTAATGTTTATTTTGTTTTTCCTTTTGGATTTTCGTATCTGTTCACGTTTTAATAACGTAAATTACGGCGCCTAGTATGTTTACAAACCTTTGTTTGATTCTTCTGTTGCTTCTGTTGCTACCGGCCAGCGGTCTTTCCCAGAAACGCCTTTGTGGTCTTCAGAATTAATATTATGAACGGTTTCAATACAGTTTAAGTCTCTTTCCAGACCTAAATGGGCAGAAGCGGCTAGTTTTACTTGTTCTCGAACGTCACACACAATTTCTGTCTTTGCTACTGCCATATTTCATTCTATCTTATCCAGAGCTGATCAATCATTCGCACGATACTTGCTTTAAATGAGGACAATGCGATTACGAACTGAATTCTTAGCGCGCTCTCCCGCTCATGTTTGGAAGTTTCTGAAAGCCGTTAAAACTTAATAACGGCTCTTCCATCAATGCACGAATGAACGTGTCAGCTTAATGCATGTTGTCAGCGACAATTATTCGAGCGTTTATGCCGCGTCACTTTTTAGACGCTTCCATTGTGTCACCTGGTTTTCATGACATCTGAAATTAAACAGTTGGCTGCTAATTCAAAGACCCATATTTGTTGAAATTACTGAAAAATATAATTATATAAATGTATTATAGAAATGTACGTCTTCATATATTTGTATTGATTAGTAAAAGAAATCAATATAAGTATTACCATCATTTTTATGTCTGCTTTTGATTATTGTTTTCTGCCATGTTGGTTGTTCTTCAGTAGCACACTCAGCAATGTTGAAGAGCACTACAGAGTCAAGCGACAAGAAACATTCAAAGAGTTACACAGATATTACATAGTTGGACCCCATATAAAACTAGGCCAGCAAAAATAACTAATTCATTTCACTATTTGCCGGTGGTTCGCATGATTGACAGTCTGGCTTAGGGGTGATAATATCTAAAAACGACAGATGCATAGCTGCCACGCAAAGGAGTCACTTATCCTAGAAAAACTGTAACGCTGACACAATTTATTGGAAAAAAATATTAAAAAATGTATGTATATTTTATACATTTGACATTTCCGAATTGAGTAATGTACGTCCACAGGTGACAGCGACGCTTGCCAAATGTAGTTTACATAAATGAAACGATTTCTTTACCTATTATAATTTTACTCAATGCACCATAATTTTTTTTCCTGTGGAAAGCTTTGGAGAAGACTCCATCGAATTTTAAGTACATTAACGGAAAGTTGTTCCCGTAACATTACCCTGTTAGAGTAGAGTGGAGTATTTTTTTAACCTCCTCTTAGGAAGCTATCCGTGAGTTAATTACAACACTTTGCCGGGGACTTTGGCTGGACTGCGTTTAGGAGTTTGCAGTTTTTGGAAGGAAATGTTGCAAGTGCCCCCGATTTCGGAATCAGGGCCAGGCCACAACGGCGTGAGCTACGTTCTCTTCTCTTTACAAAAAGTGCGTGGGTTGTTTAACGTCCCTTGCTGATCAGTTATGGCAACTCGGGGCTGAGATGCTGCCACATGGAACCCTCCAGCATCTGAGATGGCTGCCTAAGCTGAAGTACTTTTATCATATGACCATACGGCACTGCGCGCACAATCCCAGGTCCGTAAAAAGCTGTCCCGGCCCTGGAGTCACACAGCTTTGCTGCAAAAACTTAAAGGAAAAATAAAAAAAAAAATAAAAAAGTTGCGTTTCTCTTTGAAGTAGATGCCTTTATAGGTCTGACTCGGGAAAACAAGGGATAAGTTTCTTTTGAAGAAATGTTTTCTTGCGGTTTTCCCGTGTGCGCCCTTCTATAGCGTCCTGTTTGGGTTTAAAAAA